ATAGGGTAGGCCATGGCCAAGTGGGGTCATTAGATACTGGAGGATAGCCATTTCGTGGTTGGGCTATGCACTCTAGTCAGGGGAGAGGTTTAGGCATGGTGCAAAATGGGCCGACAGCTAATTCCTTCCTTCTGGAAGCAATCAATGCTGTTTGGCCAACCTACTGACTGGTAGTTTATAGGAGTCTTGCTGTTTCCCAAGCGGCAGTGGCTATGGATCTCTCAGCCAGTACATCCAGCTATCGGCCAAGGGCCCTTTTAGGAGGCCGCCCGCACTATTGGATGGAGGCGGCCCGCCCCATTGGATGGATTTATCTACGGCGCTGGGCCTCCGAAAATTTTGTAGGTGAAGAGTTTTCTTTCCAGCAAGGCTGGGGATGTGTCCTGGTGGTTTGAACCACCAGTACATGGCCCCACCCTTGCTGTGCCGAAAAGAAACTCGTTGCCTATCCGGAAAAGCGCCAGTGCGCACTGTCGATAAAAGAAATTGGGCGCCCGGTGTCGCTTTTCGGCCTCTGACACTGCCCCCCAGCCGATGTGAGGCATGTACTGGAGGAGAAGGCTGCGCGTGCCAGTTTGCGTTCTTCGTGCAGGTGTTGGTGAACTGGACTGCTGCTCTCCTGCAATATCCACTGTGTGCAGGTCTGGTAACGTACATTCGGGGGCCAGGGGCTAAACTGGTGTTGGCCACAAAAAACGGCCGACCGTGGTTGGAAAAAACTTGATGCATTTTGAAGGGACCCCACCGCAGCCCGATAGTTTCGGCACTGGAAAAGGCATCGCATACCCGAATAGGACACCGCCCAAGGGTGTTTCCTGAAAAGGCAATTCGGGCGGGTGCTGTGGAACATGGCCTGGTACCGCACTGCTCCAGGACAAGTCCGTGCGTGGCCGTGCGCGACCCAGTGTGGCGGGTTCCGCACAAGTGCCGTGCGTTGCTGTGTGGCCCGAGCGGGTCCACTCAGGCAACGGGAAATTACCGTTGGGGGCGTGGGTGGATGTCCCTCCCTGCCGTTGGTGGGAGGTGTCGTCTGAACCATTGGTAGCCGGAGTGCACTGAGCACAGGAGCACTGACGGGGAGCCATCGTCGGGGACGAAGGAGGACAGTTTGGTGAGTTGCACGAGTTTGTGAAGGTTGTGCGGTCGACAGGGCCAGAACCAGGGTTGTCGAGCCCCCGTGGGGGTCCGGGGGTGGGCACCCCCAACCCCGGCTCCGGACC